TATTATTAATTAGATATTTTTCATGTAAAATTTCAGATGTATCAAAATATATATATATCTGTAAAGGGACAATATGAATAAATTTATTCATGTATATATATATATATTATAAAATTATATATGTATATATTATTTAAATTTATATAAATGTATATGTATATATATATATATATTATTTAAATATATATATATATATATATATATATATATATATATATATATATATATATATATATATATATATATAAAAAATATATGGATATAAATCCGACAGTATGAAAAGAAAAAATACAGAAAAACAAAATTCTGAATATGCATTATTAATGTTAAAATAAAGTCGACGTCGGACGTTTCGGTCTGTTATAAGACCATCTTCATAATTATTTTCATTTTAAACATAATTAACATTATAACTTATAACAATTTAACACAAAAGACTTTGGACATTAATAATGCATATTCAGTTACCTGTTTGAATTTTTTTTTTATATATATATATATATATATATATATATAAAGTGAACAGAAAGTCAACACTTAGAGGCGACAGGCTATTTCATGCTAGACGCAATCGTGGCCTGACAGTGCTTCTAGCATGAAACAACCTGTCGCCTCTAAGTGTTGACTTCATTGTTCACTTTTAAATTAACATACGCTCTATCTCTGATATTGAGCACTTTATCCCCTAAATATAGCACACCTTAAGGGTATACTTCTTCATATATATATATATATATATATATATATATATATATATATATTTTTCTTCTTAAAAATGTTCTATATGTGGGGTGTTCACATTTACATAGACATACACAGACATGTCTACATGAGCGGGAAAGGTGGAGAAATGTCAATTTACGACGACATGAAGATATACGAGGAATGTATTCGGAATTCAAAATGAAAACAATGTATCCATTTTAGTTTCTCCTGGCAATTTAGGTCAAACACAAACCCGAGAGTGGAACCATCAAAGCAATACACCTACAGGTGATTCTCTAAAAAGGAGGAAACCAACCAACCTTGACCAAAAAACATTCCGCTTAAATTTCATCTCTCATTTCTTTTATGATTTACATTCTTGTTCAAGGAAAAAAAAAAAAAATGAGTTCTCATTATTACTTATATTAACTTGGGACTTTTTTCATTTTTTTTTTTTTTTTTTTTACATCACGGTCTTGTCAGTTTGACAAAGAAGCTGACGGCATATATCTATCCTAGAGAAAAACGGATACTTAGCAAGTAAATGCTTAAAGATTTAATTAAAAACAACTAATATGTACTTGTTAATGTTCAAATTAAAGAAACACCCAATATCTACCTATTCTAGACGCATATATATATATATATATATATATATCCGATGCAATGAGAACGAAAATAATATATAAATTCTAACGTTCACAGCATTACTTCAAAAGAGGACTCAATATCGATAGTAGAGCAATAATTATTTATTATAATTTTTTTCATACAGACAAAACCAATTTACTCACTACAAAGATGCAACTTCGTTTCAGTGCATTTCAATTGCACTTCGACTGGCGAGAACCAAAATGGTTATGAACAATTCTATCTGCATGTGAAACGCCACTTATTTTTTCTATTTGTCTGAGAAAAAAGTACATGAAGGCAAAAAGGTGATGGAGTGAAACAATAGTTCTTGTTGACAGCAGTTTGGTGAAGAATAGTTGAGGTGTTAAAGTGATGGTAAGGCTTGAAAATTTTTTTTCGACGACAACGGTCAAGATTTTAGGCACAGCATTTCCAAGCCTTCTAGGAGTGATGGGTGGAGGAGGAAAGGTGATAATAGGAGATAGTAATACGATGAAAGAGGTAGGAGGGATAAATTCAAACGATAGTTATAGTAATAATTTAGAATGCTTTTGTTTGGTTATTTTAAAAATTAAGCCAGAGGTGAATTGCATATATTTAGGTTGGAGTTATCACTACTAATTCTGTAGTCAATGAAAGTGTTTTGTAAATTAATAAGAGGTGGAGATTTCTTCTTGGTATGTTGAATACATATGTTCGTTTTTTTTTAAACAATAAGTTTTGATTTAGGAATTAAGATATAAGTAGAAAGGTATATAAAAGTATGGGATATTAATATAACTTTTATAAGCAAATTTTGACCTGTCGGACTGTATAACGTATAGAAAAAGTGTGCGTATAAATCAATTTATCTGAAAGTATTACTAGTATTATATATGCGCAAAAACATTTTAAGAATCATAATCTAAGATAGATTAGTGGAGTGGTATATAAGATGCCTAAACCCTTGACCGTTATTGTCGAAAATAAATTTTTCAAGTCTGGCCATCACTTTAACACCCCAACCATCACCAAACTGATATATTGTTTCACATTGTTTATGTACTTTTTTTCTCAACCAAATGAAAAAAAAGGAAGTGACGTTTCACAGGCGGCTTGCTTACAAATAGAATTGTTCATAGCGATTTTGGTTCTCACCAGTCAAAGTGTAATTTTAAATGCACCGAAACGAAGCTGCATCTTTGTAGTGAGTAAATTGTTTTTTGTCTATGTGAAAAAATTATAATAAATAATATATATTTATATATTTATTTCCTCACGAATCAATTAAATCGTTATGAGTCTCGATATACATATATACATTCTGTGAGAGTTATATTATTCCTTACTCATTGTGTGTTCCAGAGATTTGCACTGACATTTGAATATATAATAATAATAATAATAGCTGTATTCGAGGATACCCATCAGGATAGCCGCCCCGGCTAGCCAACCGATAATTCAAGCGCTCGCTTATTTGTTCAACACCCACAAAGCCCAACTATGCTGAACAGAGTTTAGTTACTGTTTCTGGGAGAGAAAGAGAGAGTGTTATCTAGCGTGATCAACAAGGCCAGCACACTCAAACCTTCGGTCACGATGACTTGTGACTATGTGCTGCCGAAGTGTTCCGTCTACCCAATTTCACTCCCAAGGCTTAGGTCAACCCGTGGGGTATAGTTTTATTTCCTCACGGTATAGTTTTCAGTCATTTTCCAAAGCTGGGATCGTTCCCCTTCAGACAGATAAGTCTCCGTCCTGACAAATCAAGTATGGTGTGATTCGAACCCGGGTCTCATGGTCAGAATGCGAACGTTCTAATCATTCGATCACACGCCCATATATAAAAAAAAATATACACGCTTGTTAGTCTATATTTCTGAGATGAGGTATTATGTACATTATTTACATTATTCGGACTATTGTCCTCATCTTTGTCGCCATATTTATCAGAACGTTTCGGCCGTTGTACGCTCCGGCCTTCTTCAGGTAGTTGGAATTTCGAACTGAACCCTTTATTTCGCTCACTGGGGTAGACTGTTCTAGTTCCACGTGCCATGTTTGATGGATGTCAGTTATCAGTTATCTCCTGTTAATTTTCCCTCTGAAATTTCTCCACTGCCTTATCCGGGTATTGAACTCACATTCTTTGGGTCCTGTCACTGGATCTAACCAACGCCATGTGTCCTTGAGGACACATGGCACCTGAGGAAGGCCGGAGCGTACAACGGCCGAAACGTTCTGATAAATATGGCGACAAAGATGAGGACAATAGTCCGAATAATGTAAATAATGTACACGCTTGTTATATGTACTGAAATTAGTTTTCGTTATTTTATAGTAGTCGTAGGCACCTTCAAAACATATTTTTGTTTACATCATTTCTTATATCGACAACAGTTACATTTTATTGGTCGTTGAAATAAGTGAACGTATCTCTGAGTCAGATACGAACCATTCATATGACAGAGTATCTACCATAAGAATGGTTCATATCTGGCTGTTGAGGGGTTCTCCCCTTTTTACACAAATGGACTCACCCAGTATATACATATACTACTGCTACGTGAAGACCCGAGAGACGAGAGCAACAGAGAATGAAGGTAACAGACAGACCGAACGAACGTAGTGAGCAAGAGTCACAGTGAGCGAGCACGTAGACTCAGTAAGAAGTCATACAGCGATAATTCAATACCAAAGACTGTTATAGATATTTTGCTACTAACCTGTATTCCTGGAACTACTAACCTGCTTTACCAGTTTGTATTATTACGTTAATACATTATTTTCCTATATTCATTCTTGGCGTTTGTTATTTATTGGTACTGGATTTCAACCCGGAATCCACAACACTGGCACTATTAAACTAGACATCAGTTGTGTTGTAGATGCATATTGCAGTATAAAAAAAAATATCGTCCTGGGCGATCATTCAAATTTGATTCATACATTAATCTTTTACGGCTTTATCAACCCTTTGCAGGTTATTGAGAGCTAGAAAATATTTTTAGATTGTATGATTTTTTGGGGGATAATAATGGTTTAGTGATACAAGTCTTACTAATTAACCCATAGATGGGGGAGAAGAAGTGGTTTCGTATATTTCCCAAAGGTATTTGCGCGTAAATGAATATAACGAACCACGGGAATTAGAACTCGCATCTTTGATTAATAATTCCGAGACATTATCTATTATACACCACCCGCACACCCAAGTTTACAGTACCTGTTACTCCCAAGCGGTCACCTTTCTAGGTACTGACCAGGCTTGACGTTGCTTAACTTCGGTGATCGTAACAAAACCTGTATTTTAAGGTGATGTGGTCCTAAAGCCGTTTTAAATTTATATAGCGGCAAGATAAGGTCAGCTTTTAGAGTCGCAACTGAGGTTTTGTTCCTTAAATTCTACCAGAAGAAAACTTTTTCTTATTGCACAAGAACTGTAATACAGTAGAATCCCTCATATCCGGAATCCCTCATATCCGGATGCCCGCATATCCGGAATACCTCATATCCAGAATTCCGTATATCTGGACATGATTTTGATGTGTATATTTGAACTATTTGGGTAATATGTAACTGATTTGAAATTTCTGTTTTTCAGGAAATTTACTTTGGATAATTTCTTATGCTTATTTAACCCTAATGGCTAGTATTAGTGCAAAAGATGATGAGAATAAATG